GCAAAGTTATTAGAAAATATCTAAAAACTAGAGGCCCGATGCATGAAATTTGTGCACTGGGGGGGTGGGAATGGGGAATCCCTTGGCCTGGCCTGCGTCCTCTTGCAGTCCAGGAGCCAGCAGTGGGACATTATTAGTGCTGCCACAGAGGCAGAAGAGGCTCCCGCCACCGCCGCTGTGCTCGCCAGCCGTGAGCCCGGCTTCTGGCTGAGCAGCGCTCTCCATGTGGGAGCGCACTGACCACCAGGGGGCAGCTCCTGTGTTGAGCATCTGCCCCCTGGTGGTCAGTGCACATCATAGCGACCGGTCATTCTGCAGTTTGGTCGATTTGCATATTAGTCTTTTATTATATAGGATACCCCAGGATAATCAATTCAGAATATTGAGGTTCTTAATAGAAGCTTTGGCCAGAATTATGCTAATTAATCACATTACCGAAATCACCTAGATAACGCTCACATCTCCACCTAATTAATTTCCTGCTATACAGCTCCAACTCCACAGGTGGGGAAAGGCATTCAAGAAGATGCTGTGTTACAGACAACTACAAGGACACTCCTGCAAACCCCACCTTCTTCCTTTGGCCTGTATGTGTTCCTCTGTGAATTTGTTTCAGCACTACCTTTTTCTCTTCCTCGGGTAATACAATCAGCTGTCAGATCAGTAATTTCTTTCCCCTTCCCAGTGTTCAATAATCCCTCTTTGATCAATGTGGTACACTGCACAATCACTCCATTCGATACACATAAAAAGTGATAGTACACAAACTTGCATTAGAAGTAATCATATCCCTAATTCATATAAGGTAACTAGGAGCACAGCTTGCTTGTTTTCACTCAAAACTCCGTGGTAACTTCTGCCATCAGTACTTCTGCAGAGCCCCTATGGTCCCAGAGCATGGGGGTAGGTAGCTGTATTTCTCCCAAATGCTAGGGCACAAATTAAATGTTTGAAGAATCATTAGAGCTTAGCCAAAAAAAAAAAAAAAAATGTTTCCAGTCTTTGAAGTGGGAAGTGGAGTGGGGTGAGGTGGGATGGGGAGACACAATCATAAGCATCCAGTCCCTAAACACTACTGAACACCAAACTAGTGGTTCAACACAAATGCAGGCAAAGTTTCCATGATAAATATCACTTAGCACTATTTCATGTTGAATACAGACCTTATAGAGAACCTTAATTCTAATCCTTTTTTCTCAGCTAAAGAGATCTTAATCTTTAATTCCCACTTTTAAATAGAAAGTTCTCCCGACTTCAGGCTTGTTTTAAATACTCATCCTTCTAAGTTTAGATTTTCCTTGCAATTCAATGCCCAGCATTCTACTTCCTCCTTCCTCTCAAATTATCCCTTTAACTTGTTTTTACTTATTTTTACAGGCCCCCAAAGCCTCTTCCTCAGGATAATGTGCTATTCAAAAAGCCTTCTCCACCACCCCTATATCAAACTTTAACTACAGAGGCCAACAATACCATTTTTCCTGTTTGTGTTTTAGGAAAGATACCGTTTAACTAAAATTTCACCACTCACAAAACTCCTTCCCTAAATCTTTCCTGCCCACCCCCTCCTACGCCTGATTGCTTTATACACAATCACAATGTAATCAAACTCCCAAAATGTGTAATTATATCATCATACAAAGACTTCCCTAAATATATATAATTTTAAGTGTGTAACACACACCCTTTATAACTTTGATGCTGGGACTACAGGCTGAAAAATGCTGGAGTTTTCTTATAAGTTGTGTGCATTGTTTCTCGTTGGCATGGAGGAGAGGGGAATAAGAAGATCATCACACTAGGACCAATTGCTGAATCAGAAAACACAATTTTTGTTCCAGGAGGATTCTACTGAAGGTTGTAAACACACTTAAAACTTTTTTTTTCTTTAAAAGAGGAGAGCTGAAATTGGCATAACTGAAAGCCAAACCTATGCATTGCCCATCAGGACACACAATACTGAATACCTCGTTTCCCCACTTACGAAACAGGCTCCATCTCCCAAACCAGAGCATTTATGAGGTTTGTATTAATGAGTAATTGGAAAAACCCATCTCTGCGTAAACGCAGAAAGCTTTCTGTTCTTTGGAATGCCTAAAACAATATGAAAATGACTTTAGAACAGGCCCGTGAAATTCAGCTCTGAACCCAGAAAACCGCCGAAAGGATAATGTGTGCATGCCATCTGGGATCCAGGCAGCCTCGTCAACAGAAGGGGAAACTTGTTGAGATCATCCAAATCTAAAATTCACATACATTTTTACATCTGGACTGAATTAATCTTTTCTTGGTACTGGCTTTCATGTAATAAAATAATTGTTTGCAGGTTTTTGTTGTGTTTTTTTTTTTTTTTGGTAAACCCGTAGCCTTAGACATCAAAATGTGCAACATCCAAGTTGAAAACTACAAAGAATTCCTTTATCAAAAAAGTTAGTTGTGCGACAGGACTCATTTACACTAAACTCTGAACTTGACAGCTCAGTCAAAAACAATTCCGTTTGAAACTTTCATTTCAAGCATCTGCCACAAAAGAAGGCTACACAGCCTATTATGTCACTGGTTCTGAAAGCCAAAACCTTTATAAGTGAAGTTAAAAGTGGAAACAAAGTACAGAAACTAGCAAAGCTCTACCACCTCCCCTTCCCCCCAGATTCGGCTAGCCTAGTTGAATGAGTTTTTAAAGAACTTGTAGCTAAAAATTATTACCTAACAGACATTTTGCTTTCAAAAGCAGTCTTATCCTGGCCTGTATTATTTTCCTATGGAGCTAGGAGCATCTTAAATCTTCCAGTTGAAATTATGTATTTGAAGCTGGTAGGTTACCCCTGTTGACCTCCTAAAAGGAGGGGGTGCAAATAGAGAAAGATTTCCCTGTTCCTTAAAATGTTTTGAGCACTGCAAGAGCTTCGGCTAACTGGCTAACTGTGGTCCATAAGTGTCAGATCTCAGGCATTCTTACAAGCTAATTCAAAGGGGGGGGGGGCGGGGGCAGAGGGGGAAATTAGTTCATATTACAGTCAGTCTGCTTTCTGGAGAAGATACCCTGCAGATAACTTGATAGTAGATATCCCCCGGAGGACCCTCCTCATCCAATAACCCCAAAGGCCCATTTTAATATGAAATACAAGTCCACTATGTTTACAAGTATACTAAAATGTCAGTTGTCTCATACTGTGGAGTATTTCCATTTTTAACATAACACAGTACTTTTGTTTCTCAAAACCACATCCAAGGAAAATGATTCAGTTCTAGAAGTTTTATATGACAAGGAAGAACAGCAAACGCATCTGTTTCCCTGCCTCTCACTTCTCCACTCCCCTCCCCCACTCTCCATCCTGCAGGCTGTTTGTAGGTCTCCGTGGTTGTTAAAATTACTCTCTACAGTGGTCTCAAAATGCTGTCGATCCTGAAAAACTTCTTATCCTTGATCATCGCTGAGCCTAAATTTAGGCGCTGCTCTAAAGGAGAAAAATCCCGAAGTCAAAGAAAGTGTTTTTAATGACAGATGTACTACGGAAAATTTTCCCCACAAAGTTTTGATGCTGTGAAATATCAACTCCCTGAAATCACAGAAAGGAAATGACTTACATTCTTGGAAAATGAAGCCACTAGCAGCTTTCTCCAGCAGTATTTTCTAGTCCGTAAACTACACCCTGTGGCAAAGGGGAGTATTTCCTGCAAAAACTAAATTTAAAGAGATGCTTACAAAACCCATAAACAAACAACGTCGGGTCCCAGAGAAGAAGAGACTGAATCATACATGGAAAACCCGCCAAGAGATACTTTTTCTGAACATTTAAAAACAAAACAAAACATAAAAAAAACACACACAAAAACAACTGGAGAGCAAGGGCTTAAAGTCAAAAGCAACCCGAGAACATTGCTGAAGTTTCCCCCCCCCCACACCCCCTGCTGTGGGCAATGCACAGCCCCTGAGGGAAATACTGGCAAAACAGATTTGTGCTAAAAAATAAAAACGAAAAGGGTGTCGGGAAGCTAATATTTCCCTCGACAAACAACTGCATGGCCTGAAAACCTGCCAGCTTTCACTCAAACTTTAAAATATGCTTATTTTGACAGCTTTCCATTTATTCGTGCCTTTAAGAAATCGCCCTCACCATCTGATTAAGCCGTCCCGGGACTCAAGGTGCTGCTACAGTCCCTGTGGACCTCACACTGGTGCCCCCGCTGTCCATACCTGACAGTCCCTGGCCATCCCGGAGGAGAGGCTGGGGGTCCCCTCCGCCTGGGGCCGGGCCTGCGCGCCGCCAGCTCCTCCGGGAACCCAACATCTGCAGGCTGCGCCCCGCGCTCGCATCCCACCGAGGCCCCCTTCTGGCGCCGCCGAGCTCCAACTCAATCTCCGGCTCCCCCGACCAGGCACTTTCAGGGACGATGGGACAGATGCTGCGCGCGGGTCCCTTCCCGCAGCCCCGCGGCCCCGCATTCCCGCAGCCCGGCCCCAAGGCGCGCACAACAGGCGGCAGGCACCGCACCCAGGAATGCGGGGCTCGGGGGCTGGCCCCGGCGCCGGGTCACAGAGACGGGGCGCGACGGACAGGCGCCCCCAGAACAGGGCACCGGGGTGCACCGGGGAGCCGAGCGCGACGCATGGAGCCCAGGGCGCAGCCAGCAGCCCGGCCGGCCTCCCGCTCTCGCCGCCCGGGCAGCCTCGGAGCTCCGCGTCTCCCTCGCTGCCCGGCTCGGCTGCCCGGGGCCCCGACCCCCGCTCTGGCATGGGCGCGCTCTGACTCGCAGAAGGCGACCTACCAGCCCGCTGCCCGACGCCCAGGGCCGGGGAAGCCTGGAGAAGAAGAAGAAAGACGCGGGGAAGGGGACACGGCTTTCGCAGGAGCTCGCGACTTTCGGAAACCCTCCCCAAGCCCGTCCCGCCGCCGCGCCGCCGCCGCCCGGCCGGCAGGGGGCACAGCGGGCGGCCGGGGCGCACAGTCCGGGTAGGGGGCGGGCGGGGAGGCCCCAGGGCGCCGGGTTCCGGCTCGTACCTGGAAGAAAAGTCTGGAGCAGCAGGCGTTGGACTCGCCACAGCGACCGGTCCCTTCCTGCCAGCGCTGCGCTCACCCCGATCTCCCAGCCCTTGGGCCCGGGCAGCCAGGGGAGCGCGGGGTGCCGGCCCGCCCCCCGCCCACGCCTCCGCCCTGCCCCCCAGAGGCCCCGCCTCCTTCACCGCCCCGAGGTGGGCGGGGGAGGCAGCGGAGCCCGGGGAGGGGAGCGAGGAGATCGCGACCGCACGTGCAGCGCCTGCCGACCCCGCCCCGGACCCAACCAAGCGTCCCGCGGAGGGGTGCGGCGAGCCCGGGGCGGGAAAAGGCGACGGGAACCGCCCCTCCGGGGTCCCGGGGAGGGAGGTGAGCCGCGGAAGGTGTGCGGACCGGGGCGATCTAGGCCTTTCCTCGCGCGCGAAGGATACAGGCGCGAGGGGACATGGTCCGCGCCCCTGCTCCCCGCCCAGTGGCCCTCTCCGCCCCCCGGGCCCAGCTCTCCGGGACGCTCCCTGCCCCGCTCAGTCGGGCTGGTGGGGGTGGCTGTTTGGCCTCAGCATCATCTTACTAATTCGGAACGATGGAGGGCAGGCCACGCACAGAGGAGGCGTTTCCAGCGGAGGAGGCTTCGTGACTCCGAGCTTCCCGTCTGCCCTCCTGTCCCGCACCCACCTGCCCACCCATTCATGACTCGGGACGCCGCACCCCCGAGACTTTTCTATTCTACGTGGGGCGCTGCGGCGGAAGCCAAGCCCCCGGCCAGCTCAGCCTCTCCCGTTCTTCAGGTGGACACAGCCTATGTCTGCTGTATTTTCGGTGCCTCTGACCCCTCAGAATTATACTTGCCCGCTCCCGAGGGTGTCCGGAGAGAGCGACGGATGACGCAAAGGGCCAGGGGAAGATGTTTTTATGGCACTGAAATCGAGGATCTTTTTGCCATCTGTTGGGTCTGGGAAAGTGGCGAGCTAAGCCTCTCCTGTGAGTCTGCGCCCACTGGGACCTGCAGCACGGGACCTGGAGACCAAGGGAGAGAGACCCAGCCTCCGACCTGGCTCCCAGGCCCGCGACCACAGAAGCTCCTGGGCTGACTGTGGAGCCTGTAACCCTGGTCAGGGGGGCAGTAATGCCGCACAGGGCCCCTCACCAACGGAGGGAAGGGGTGTATGTTCAGGGTATGACAACTGGGAGAGGAGACAGAGGAGGACCTGAGAAAGGACACTACCTAAAATCAGATTTATGCTGATCGAAGCCAACTTTAAAACTGCCCTGCTCTTTTAGTCAAAACATAAATACGTAAAACTAGTCTTTATTGGTTTAAAGCTGTGATTTGTCAACCTTTCTCATCTCACGGCACACATACATGAAATACTAAAATTCTGTCGCACACCAAAAAATATATTTGTTGCCAATCTAACAACAACAAAAAAATAGGTGTAACTTTGATTCATTCACACCAGACGGCTATTGTTGTGTTGGCTGTTGTCACTTTGAGGAAAAAGAGGTCAACGCCCCTGACTAAATAGTCAGGCATTGCATGTTTTAAAAAATTCTTGCAGCACCCTGGTTGAACATCGCTGGTTTAAAGTACGCCAGTCTGTGCACCTTGTTTTCTTGGCAAAGAAATTCAGTTTTGTGTTCATTACAACAGAAGCTCGCTTGGAATAGTCACATTCACAGCACATTCATTTTAGGAGCCATGGCCTTAGAACTGAGTACATTGGGAATTATGATCTTTTTTCACAATTGGCAATACGTGCCGAGCTTATTTCTGTTAGAGTGGTTTCTAAGGATATTGCACCTATGATTTGGAGTCATGATTTCATTATGGAAAAGACAAGAACTATGTTCCAATTGCTGCTTTTTAAATTAGTTGTAGTTAATTAAAAGCCTAAATTAAACATTGGTTAACGGTAGCTGATTACAGTGTAGGCATTTAAAAGTGGAGGATTGAACTTTTTCCTCTCATTTTTATCTGTTATATGAGCTAGTTGGAAAGGTCTTAAATTAATTTGATGTCTAATGAGATAGTCCAGCACTTCATATATAAATATAAGTAAGAAAAATGTGTAATAAGTTACTACCTTGGAAAACAGTTCCTAAATCTGATTTCTTTTCAGGCTTTGCGAATAAAAATCTAGCGAATAAAAAACAACATACTGTTAGCTTGGGAAACATTGCTGCAATATAATATAATTAGGCAACCCGAGGAGCAAAATATTTTTAAACAGCCTTTTTTTAAAACATGTGTTTAAGATTGGGTTTATTGTCTAGAATTAGATTGTAGCAACATTTACTAAGTGAATATTTTTTATCATAATCATCATATTACCGAGACGAGGAAGCAGAGGACCTGAGCATTCACATTGTAGTACAGCGTGAATACTACAATGAACATAGATTGTTACATAATACTTAGTAAACTAAGTACTTTAAAACTCTTGCCATTGGTTTTATAAACCCCTGAAACATCATAAAATTCTGAAAGGAATGCTTTGGAAAACAACACATACTATCACTTTCCCAGGTCCTCCCCCAGTCAGTGGAGCCAGGATTTGGTAAGTGGTGCTGGAAAAAAACCTTTATTGCATTGTTGCCCTGGGAGTGTGCGGATAGCAGCTGTCACTCAATGACACAGAGAGAGAAAAATAAAAGCAAATATGAAAGAAAACATAATTCCATTTAAGATGGAAGTGGAGCTGAGAAAGAATGGGTTGTTTTATTTTGGGGTTTGTTTTGTTGTTGTTGTTGTTAATCCTCACCCGAGATACTTTTCCCATTGATTTTTAGAGAGTAGAGGGGTGGGAGAGGGAGGGAGAGAGAGAGAGAGAGAGAAAGAGAGAGAGAGAGAGAGAGAGAGAGAGAGAGAGAGAGAGAGAGACGAGAGAGACACATGGATTGGTTGCCTCTCACAGTCTCACCCTTGACTGGGAATTGAACCCAAGACCCTTCTGATCCTGGGGACAATACACTAACCACTGAGACACACCAGCCAGGGCAAGAATGGGTTGTTTTATTTTTATTTTTTAAAATATGTTTTTATTGACTTATTTAGAGAGAGGAAGGGAGAGAGACAAGGGAGAGATAGAAACATCGATGAGAGAGACACATCGATTGGCTGCCTCCTGTTCGCCCCCTACTGGGGATTGAACCTACAACCCAGGCATGTGACCTGACCGGGGAATGGAACCAGTGACCTCTTGGTGCATGGTTTGACGCTCCACCACTGAACCACACTGGCCAGGCAAGAATGGGTTGTTTTAGATATTTATCACAGGAAACATTTTTCTGTGTTTAAAGAATGTAATTTTGTAAGCAAAATTATATTTTATGATTTTTTTGACTTTGAGATATAGTTTTATTTTCATTGGTATGAGATATTTTCCTAAATATGAAACTGCCCATCAGTGAAAAATCATTCTAAACACATCTTAAACTATTACTTTTTCCATGGCATATAAATATCTATATAATAAAGCCTAAGGGACTGTTAAGGTGGAACAACCAGAACAACCGGTCCTATGATGCGCACTGACCACCAGGGGACAGACACTCAACGCAGGAACTGCCCCCTGGTGGTCAGTGTGCTCTCACAGGGGTAGCGCCGCTCCGCCAGAAGCCGGGCTCACAGCTGGCAAGCACAGCGGAGGTGGCGGTGGCTGGAGCCTCTCCCACCTCCACAGCAGTGCTAAGGAGCAGCAAGCAGGCGGGTGGTAAGGAGCGAGGGGTCCTGGACTGCAAGAGGGTGCAGACCTGACTTGGGAATGTTTTCAAGACCCCAGATTATTCTAAGTGGAGACACATGTGGGAACCATGGGCTATGACATGTGGTATCTCAGGTAAAAGGCACAGAATAAACAAGTGCACAGAGACACTTTTAAAGTACAGTGGCCATAGCCTCATTTTGTAATTCAAGAGGCTTAATCCTTGGTGGGTGATATGTACTCGAATTTTGATATAAGGAACACAGTTATATAGAAAATGAAGAGATGTGAACTGCTATAATTCACATTCCTTTACCAGTATTTTCCAAAGACCAAATAGTATGTTGAGAATTAAGGTTACTTCAATGTATTAGAAGAAAAAACTTTTGTTCTTTTTCATCTCTTATACATAATTGAAGGTTATTTGGGACTCAGAGTATGTTTCAATGCTAAAATATAAGTTCTAGTCAGAGAGAGAAGTCAGTAATTTGACATGCTGGCTTTTAAAGAATACTTTCCCAAAATAAATACTGTTTATTATTTTGGCTGAAGAACATAATAAAGAAATTAGGTTCATTTTTCTTTTTTGTAATTCCTGAAATTCATTTAGAAAGCAAAACAAGCCCAGCCAGTGTGGTTCAGTGGTTGAGTGTCGACCTATGAACCAGGAGGTCACTGTTCAATCCCAGTCAGGGCATATGCATTGGCTATGGGCCATCCCTGGTAGGGGTTGTGCAGGAGGCAGCTGATCAATGATTGTCTCTCATCCTTGATGTTTCTAGCTCTCTTTTCTTCTCCCTTCCTCTCTGAAATCAATAAAAATATATTTTTAAAAAAAGAAAAAGAAAAACAAGATGCATTTAAGTCCCATTCTAAGGTCATAAATGTCCATTTAGCTAATGTATAGTATTTTGAAAGACAAAATAATTGCTTATGGAAGCTTCAAAGTGCAGTGATGAAGTCTTAGTTTTTCATGGTCTAACATTTAAAATGTACTTTTTATTATCGCAGTTGGTATATTACTGTGTTCTATAAAATAAAAACACAAAAGGAGAGTTAAGGCTCCAGAAAAGTCAGGAGAATTTATTATCAGCCATTTAATCCAGGGGTCCTCAAACTTTTTAAACAGGGGGCCAGTTCACTGTCCCTCAGACCATTGGAGGGCCGGACTATAGTTTAAAAAAAAAAAACTATGAACAAATTCCTATGCACACTGCACATATCTTATTTTGAAGTAAAAAAACAAAATGGGAACAAATACAATATTTGTATTTGCATGTGGCCCGCGGGCCGTAGTTTGAGGACCCCTGATTTAATCGGTCTCATTATTGTGAATCCCTAACCAGGAATACAAATCATTAATCCCTGTGCTGTGTAGAGCCAACACAGCACAGGGATTAATATTATGTAGCAATCTAACTCTGGAAGACCTACCTTTACCC